TATTGTGAGTTTGATTCATACATCTTTCATAAAACCTTTCTCTTAATGGTTTTAGCAGCCATGCTAATTGTTTTTAGATCCGTCATTTCATTGGGGAACATTAAGTGGTGAGTTTTCTAATAAAATGATTCCTTCTCTATTTTATGGCCAGAATTCTTACATGGGGAAGAACCTTTTCTCATCAATTATTTAATTATATTGGAATATAGCTTATAAACAAAAGTCAGGATAAAATTTTTTACTTTTTTATCAACATACAGAATAATGAGTTAGTGCTCTAGCAGTCTCCCAAGGCATCTTTTTTGACAATATCATTATGAATTCATAAATTTTTTCATATTTGGTATATTTCAATAGATATTATCGTATATTTGTTCTTTTGTATTCTGTAAACATGCTTCACTGTGTCCAACATTCAATGTTACTAAAGTATAGATGTCAAAAGCCTTTCCTTTACAATAATCTTTGATATTCAAAAATACTACTAGGACATGCATAGGTTGGAATCTCATTCCATTTTCTAGCCTGGTACTTGTTAGACCTTTTAATCTAAAGACTAAAGTCTTTCCTCAGTTCACATAAACTCTATTTTTTCTCTGATAAAATGATTTTTCTTCCATCTGTTCTCACCTCTATAACCCCTATTATAAATATAATGAACTTCCTGACTCTACCTTTGTTTTATCCTAAAATTTAATCTCCTCATCTTTTTCCTTGAATTCTAAAGATAATTTTTCAAGTTTACCTTCTAATTCATTAATTTGAGGTTCTGCAATATATCATCATCTGTTTATAATTTCAAAATAATATTTTTACAGCAATAACTCTTCTCAATTCTCAAATCATTACCCTTTACTATTAAAAAGAAATCCAAACCTACAGGAACGCTACAAGTACAATACAATAAAAACCTAATGGTTTACCTATCTTTATCTAGGTTCATCCATGATTAACATTTTCAGATCATTATTTTTGGTGACAGTGCCTCCTGTTTCATTTTTATTAACAGAATGGATGGTCAAGTCACCCTAAGAAAATTAAATCTTTATTTTGTTTTGTTTACGTTTTCTTTCATTTCTGTTCTAAGTTCATTTTAAAGAAGGACATTTGTTCTGATAGCAAAGACTGGTCTCCCTTTTCAACCAATTTTCTAATAAAATAATTCCTTATTTGTAAAACCTAAAAAGGTGCTCATTTTAGGGTTTGTGCATAATAGTAAGAGTGAATATCTTCTTAAGAATGCAGCACCTATTGCCAAAACTTATAAACAATAACTCTGGTTTGTGCAAGTATAGAATTTGTACTTGTATGCCCCCAAAAATTAGGAACATGTTAAATTTTATGTTTTATTGCCTTTCTTTCCTCAACCCAGTCCAAGACCTACCGTGCACTGTGATGTAGAGGTCTTTACATTTTTGTTTTGTTTCTTACTCTTATAGGGTGAAGTTTATTAGTAATGGAATTTTAGAAGGGTTATGATATAGTTTGTATACATTATACATCTGTTCAAATACTTCAGATAGATTTCTCCTCCTCATGAAGAGTGAGTATTGCAACTTCCACATTTATCATCAATAATGTATCCTAAAATGGTCTACTAACATACAACAGTAATACCCAGTTTGCCATTTTCTGTTGTTTAGTCTTCATAAAGCATTTAGGCAAATAAGTCAAATTTGTAAGCCATTCTTTATCATTAAATAGTTACCTTATTTAGTTACATAAATAGTTACCTTATTTGGGTTATTTTCCTAAGAAAGGACATTTGGTCTCCATAAAGAAAAAAAATAGTATTCAATCCTCAATTATAAAACTGTGACAGAATCCTTAAAATTCAATTATTTTAGAATATGTTGATATCAAAGATCTACCTTTCAAAAGCAAACTTAAATTTACTCTATAAATCTGTTTTTAAAAGCTAATAGTTCAATCAGGGTTTTAAAATTTTTTTCACATTTTATTTTTTTTCACTACACACTGAGAAAAATCAAGAGGCACATTCTTAGAGGAGTTCTCTATGGTAAGTTGTTGCTTGTTCTTTAAATTTGCAAAGATCTGTGAGTTATTCCTACTGCATATTTGTCCATCAGATATGCCCCTTTTGTGCACCAGGGTGAGTCAAAGAGTGCCTGGAATCAAAAATTTCAGAGAGCATGCACTCTTGGGGTGTTTTAAGTGTAGAATCTGCACTTGCACCAACCCAAGAGGAAGTACCTCTTAAATGCCCTGTGGATCTCTCTCTTGCCTTGCTCTACTCTGGGCCCTGCAGTATAAATGTTCAAATATATTTTAGAATTGATACTACATGTGACAAAAGGGGGAAAAGAGAAATGTCCCTCCATTTCCTCACCAATAATCCTATGCTCTAAAAATTAACATGTCTCTTCAGATATCATTATATAAATGTAGAAAGCTGAGCTATAACCTCAGCCCTTTTTATCATTTAAGACAGGGGCTTGCTAAATTGCCTAGGCTGGCTTCTAAGTTGGGATCCTCCTGCCTCAGTCTCCTGAGTTGCTGGGATTACAGGCATGCACCATGATACCTGGCTATGTTCATTACATACTTTTTTTTTTCATTTAATAATGTATTAGCAATTATTCTATTTTATTCTACTTTATTCTACTCTATGCTTTTTAAGAAATAGGGGACTTGCTGTGTTGCCCAAGCTGACCTCAAATTTCTGGGCTCAAGCAAGGCTCCCAAATAGCTGGGACTACTGGTATGTGCCACCATGCTAAGCTTACAGTTTTACAATTTATTTTTTCAGCTGTGTTTAACTTACTATCCAAATTAACTTCAAGTCAAAAAAAGTTACTGTGGATTTGACTGTGTTTTTGTTCTCTGTGAGCATCGTGAGACATTTTCCAGGTGAGGCATGGTGGTACAACCAATCTGTCAATAAACATAATTAATTCCACAATATATCTGCAATGGAACATCATTCTCAAAGTAATGTAATATTTTTACATTACACATAGCTATTACATATTTCACTACCAGAAAATCTAATCATCATGGAAATAATGTTACTACAGAAAATTATACTATAGTTCCAACTTGGAATCAGAAATACCTCTGTAGAGGTATCATGACACAGTGGGAAAAGCATGTGTTTTATGCTTGAAAAAGACGAATTTTATTCCTAGCACTGTCATCATTACTTTTATCACTTTGTGCAAATTACTTAACTGAGGTTCAGTTTCTCATATGTAAGACAGAGATAACGGTATATATTTCTCATGTTGTTTTGTGGATCAAATCCGTTAAGGAGACTAGAGAAGAGGGATGGGGCAGGCAGAAGGCAATAAGAGACTGGAGATTCAGGAAGACACAAAATAGGTACAGGTATTCTTGATGGTCAGAATGGATAAGAAACCTAAATAGCTTCCTGATTCTGACTAGTGTCGAACCTGCCTATACTTTTGTTCCTATAGGTATTAGAATTAGCCATCTCCTTTGCTTTATATTTCAACCATTTGCTCCTTTCATTTAGAGTACCCCCTCATCCCTTTCTGTAGCCAACTGCATGACATAATTTATCCTTAGATCCTTCCTAAAGTCATAGATTTAAAAAACAAAACCCTGTTATCAAAATAAAGGAAATTGACATCTAAAATGGCAGAATGAGGACCTCAGTAAAATCATTCTTCCTTTAAAACAGTAAAAATACATATAAATAAAATCAACTAGTTCAGAACTGAGTTAACAAAAGCCACAAAATGAACTAAAAAATTGCCTATCCAAGAGAAACTACTGAAACTTGACTTAAAGTGGCAATACTGAAATTCAATAAAGCATTTCTCTGCATTGAATCTTAATGTTTATAGTACAATTGTCAAAGAATAACTTCTATATCAGTATAAGTTGTCCCTTCTGCCTAGATGCTTCAGAATATCCTTCCTTTAAGGAACCAATCCTATAATTATAATGCTCTTCTTCCTTTAATGTCAAAGCAGCATTTTAAAAATAAATCTCAGGACGGGGGCTGTACCTCAGTGATAGAGTATGTATTTAGTACATGCGAGGTCCTGGGTTCAAACCCAAACACCTAAAAAAAAAAAAAGGCTTAGTGTGGTCATACGTGTTTGTAGTCCTAGCACTTGGGAGGCTGAGGCAAGAAGATGGCTTAAACCCACAAATTCAAGACCAGTCTGAGCAACATAGCAAAACCGTGTCTTAAACAAACAAACATATATTAACCCAAACTATCCCATCCAAACTGTACTATAAATGAATAGTTTTGCAAACATATATTTTCTTCCTTTTTTAAAAAATTTATTTTTTTATTTATATATAACAGCGAATTCATTACAATTCTTTAGAGCTCAATTTTTCATATCTCTGGTTATATACATAGTATACTCACACCAATTTGTGTCTTCATACATGTACTTTGAATAATAATGATCATCACATTCAACCATCATTAATTACTTCATGCCCCCTCCCTTCCCCTCCCACCCCTGTGCCCTATCTAGAGTTTGTCTATTCCTCCCATGCTCCATCTCCCTATCCTACTATGAATCAGCTTCCTTATATCAAAGAAAACATTCAGCATTTGGTTTTTTGGGATCAGCTAACTTCACTTAGCATTATCTTCTCCAACTCCATCCATTTACCTGCAAATGCCATGATTTTATTCTCTTTTATTGCTGAGTAATATTCCATTGTGTATATATGCCACATTTTTTTAATCCATTCATCTATCAGGGCAAATTGGGAATGGAACCATCATTTGACCCAGCTATCCCTCTCCTCGGTCTATACCCAAAGGACTTAAAAACAGCATACTACAGGGACACGGCCACATCAATGTTTATACTAACACAATTCACAATAGCTAAATTGTGCAAACATATATTTTATTATAGTATAATATAGATTTACTTTTAAATTTTCAAAAATAGCTAACAGTGACTTTTGCTAATTCAAATTTCAACTGCATGGAGGAAAAAGAGCAAACATTAATTCATGCTGTATTAAGAGTAATATCCTACCTTAGGAGAAGTAGAGAGATCTCTTCCTGCAGAAACAACTGTGTTTTCATTTACTCCTCCTGTCTTTGGTGAGAGAACTGGTGGAGGTGGGGCCCTTCGTTTCACTCTTCTTTCAGTTTCCAGTTCTTGAAATGGATTTACCAAATTATTTGGAGAAGTTGGTTTAGGCTCATAAAAAGGATTTGATCTAAATGAAATCAGAATTATTGTTAAATGTCTCTCAAATTATTTCCAACTAAATATATATATATATGTACTGAAAACTATAATGTTTTGTGCAAATAAACCCAAACCAGAAAGTCTTACAATCAGAACAATGGCTATTAATCTTTGGGTCCATTTCTATCTAGACTTAAATAAAATTTGTCACTTTAAAAAGATGTTAAATACTAGGTCATGCTCAACTTCAACTACTACAAAACAGAACCTTAAAAAATGTATTATTTTCAAAAAAGGAGATCCTATCTATTCTTGATAGTCTAGGAAGAGGAAATAAGATGTGGAAATGTTGATTTACTTTCTTTTTTATGCTTCACTCCCATTTTTTTTTTCTTCTTGAATTTAATCCCTGCTTTTGTGTCAAATTCTCTTCTCTTTAGAGAACTATCTTTCAGTGGTTCATTCAGCAAAGTACTGTCAGTAAATTCTTCCAGGTTTTGAAAGTATCTTTCAATCTCACACTTAAATGAAAATTTAGTGATTAATTCAGTTATATGAATTATTTGGAAGATAATTTAAATAATTATTTGTTTAACAAATTTCCATATTATTTTGTAAGATGGTAGCTCCTATAATAATCATTATTATTAATTTATTATGTAGACATGAATGGTTTTAAGATAAACCTAGTTATTTTAGAGTATAGACTGCTTATATTACAAAAAGATGTGCTTAACAAGGAAAATAAATCAGAATTCTTTTAAACAGACAACTTTTTGGTATACTTTATACAGATGAATTTATACAACTCAATTTGCATAAAACTTCCATAACCTTATCTCATAAGTATAGCAAGGTATCTCAAAATATTGACCTTTTATTTCATGCTTTCTCTGCCAAGTTCTACTCACTACATCTCCCTCTAACCACTGGTATTATTTGCATAGGGAAAATAAACACAAGTAGAAAAGAAGTCCAGATCAACTATTTCCAAAGTTGGTTCCTAACATTTATGTTATTAAAAACAATCCAAATAGACATTTGTTTTGTTCTTGTTTTTGCAGTGCTAGGGACTGAATGTACGGCCTGGTATATAACGGGTATGTGGTCTATCACTGAGTTACAATCCTCTGCCCAAAACAGACATTTTCTTGAATGAATTAGAGCTGTGATTCTCAATGTTTTTATATTATGACATATACTGAAAATGAAATTTGACATAACAAAGAAAGCTGCTTGAAATTAAAAGTGTCAGGAACTTTAGCTGCCCTTGACTGTGCCTCGCCATCAGGAGGACTACGAAAATCACTATCTTTATACATCCATAATTTGCCTGTGAGACAACAGCGTGCTAGGCACCACCACTGATTAGCTGATAAATCAGAGTAAGGATAAAAGTCCTTTATGAGTTTTCAGATCCTTCCCTTTATAATTCAGAAAGCCCTAAATAAAAATGAATATTCCACTCAAGAATGAACAGCAAATGTTTCCATTTACACGAAATGTCTATATCTATGGTCAAATTCATAGATAAATACAGCAGATTAACGCAGAGGATGGAGGAACTGGGGAGTTGGGACTAACTGCTAAGAGGTATGGAACTCCTTGTGTTAATGATAAAAATGTTATGGTATTAGGCAGTAGTGGTGATCATAAGACACAGCAAATATACCAAAAACACCTGCAGTATACATTTTTAAATGTGTAATTTAATGTTTTAGAAAGTATGTATATCTCAATATAAAAAAGTACTACACTAAGAACAAGTGAACAGGAACAGTGCCTACAAAAAGTATTATGTGAATATACCACTTTCTCTACAAAATGAAAATAGTGATATAACTGCTGATAAATACATTTAATATACATGGCATCACACACATTTTGGTTGACAATGGACTGCATATACATGGTGGTCTCAAAGGATTATATCAGCTAGTGCCATTTTGGCCATTTTTGTTTGTGTAAATACATTCTAGGATGCTGGTTCAATGACAAAATTTGCTAATCAAGTATTTCTTAGACCATGACTATATTCTTAAACAGTACTTTACATGAGGAAATTTAAGGATTTAACACAATTTCCACATCTTGTTGATCATTTATGATTTAAATAATCTATTTCAGGACTTTCCACATTACTCTGAATAAAAATAAATTATTTTCATCTTTGAACTATAAACCTGAGTGATATATTAGTTAAAACATTAATGCACTGTGAGTTTAAAATTCATGTTATATTAAAGAAGTTGGATAGAATGCTTTTAAATGATATTATTTATTGTTTGGATATTCATCCAGGAAACCCCCATACAGTTTTTAATTAGTAATGAGATTTCAACCTGGGTTTGGAATCAGAAAGTAAAACTAAAGTTGGTTAGAAGCAGGATTAACTAAAACATACTGGAAATATTACACTATGAAGCCAGGGTAAAGAGAAATCTGTAGTCTTTTCCTCTCATCTTGAAAATCTATTGTTTCTTTGGAAAAACAAGTCAAATTTATCAAAATGAGTATATACCTTCTCTGAATAAAATTCCATGAGAGGCTTGAGAAACTGACACAGCAACATCAGAAATGTCTACATGTGGGTCCTCAAAAGTTACTTAAAAATTCTAATATAATATTGCTTTATCAGTTTTCTTTTCACTAAATTGGAATAGCCAAACTGTCTACCAAAGCCAAGAAAAGTGAGAAACCAAACAGTTGCTAAGTGTAAAGAACCGATGCTAAAGAGCAAGGAAGGTATATATTTTTCTTTTGGTACTGATGGGAGATGTTTTATACATCAAAATACTCAGTACTGTTTATTTGTGGAAAATTCTATATTGGGGCATACGGAACAGTTTAATAATAGAAAATGAGTCACAGAAACTTTTCACTTGATAAAAAGTTGTAAGTTATAACTGAAGTAAGAATAAATTTTGGACGATTTCTGTCACTGATATGGGACCTATAAACTTTTGGAGATATATGAACACCAAATAAGTAAGTAATGCAAACCAAATTCTTCCTGGACTTGCACATTAGCTGATGTGAAATCTTTAGGACTTCTGTGTGTATTCCTTAAAAAAAAAGAACCAAAGAAAGAAAGAAATAGCTGTTTATAGGCTCCCTCTAGTAACCGCAAATGATTGAGCAATTTAGCAGGCTCTTTTATTCATGGGAAACTTGTAAAGACTGTGACTTTCATGTTAAAAAAAAAAGAATGGTCAAAAGGAAACACCCACTGATTCTGATTTTAGTTTTTATTAAGGCATTTTAAAAGTTTAAGCAAACATTAGCTGTCTCTTTAATTTGTTAATAGGAGAGAGCAGGGTGTGTGTGTGTATTGTGTAATATTCATACATCTTGGAATGACTGAAAGATATTTAAAGTTTACATTTACATTCAAATATTCTAGGTGTGTGGCTATTACTCAGCACCTACACCACCCATGAGAAATTTTATTTATTACACATTAGCTATTTCAAAGGAAACAAACAATACATTGGCAAGAGTTGAGCCAACCTTTAAACCCCCATACAGTTTTTAATTAGTAATGAGATCTCAACCTGGGTTTGGAATCAGATTATTATTAATAATGTAATTCTGAGTATTTATGGAGGTTAGAACTTTTTTAGCTTTTACCAAAACATAGCTATACCCAGGGAGGCGTGTAAAACACGTGAGAGTCATGACATAGTATTGTAAAGTAGGAAAAGATTGAGAAACACAGTTCCAGAACAATAGAAAATAAATCAACTCCCTTACTCTTTCAAACAAAAGTCATAAAATATTTGAAGTTAGTCACTATAGTTTCCTAAAATCATCTCTTTTCTAAGTCCAACAGTCCCTGTGCTCTTAATCATTGCCCATTCAACTGGTTAGAAGCCTGGATAAAGCAAAACAAGACAGGCAAATTGGTCTTTCTCTTTTCTGCAGCTGGGAAACAAACATTCTTCTCCTGGCCTTGGCATCAGAGCACCAGGTTCTATGGACTCTGAACTCCAGGACCTACACTAGTGGCCTCCCAGGTTATCAGGCTTTTAGACTTACACTGAGCCATGTTACAGGCATCCCCCAAGTCTCTTGCTGCAAATGATGATCTGTATTGGGATGTCTTAGTCTCCATGATCATGTAAGCCAATTCCCTTAATAATTTTCTCTTTCTCACCCGCATCTTCTGCCTCTCTCTTTCCTGCTTGTTCTGTATGGCCATATAATCCAATACATCACTGAATCTCAGATCAAATGAAAAGAACTCATACCTTTGAATATATGGTCATAGAATTTTGCTCAGCAATGTTTTGCTGTTTTCATTGTATAGTAATTGTCCACATTCAAATGTATTCCTGATTTTTAGAGGATACTATTGTACCTTTCTTTTTTTGATGCTGGGGGTTGAAGCCAGGACCTCCACCACTAAGCTATACCCCTAGACCCTTTGAGTGTATCTTTTAAAAAAAAATTCTAATTATATTTTTTTAAATTTAAAATGTCCTTTTTTGAGTGTTCAATATCATTACAGAGAAAAAATTAAATTTGTATATTAATCTTGTATCTATAACCTTATTAAATTTAGTTTTCAGTTCCAGAAGCTTTTTTGGAGACTCTCATGATTTTCTACATAAAAAATTTAAGTTATCTGTGAAAAAAGTTTGTTTTCAAGTAATCTTATATATGAGAAGCTTAAAACAGTATCCTTTAATTTCCCCACTCAGTTTTTACAACTGTTATACTATCATACTTTACTTTTACATTTTATAAAACTTAGCATACATTATTATTTAAGGCTTAAAACAATTATCTTTTTAAAACAAAAATATTTTAAAATAAGACAAACATTTTATACACACACTTGCCATTTCCTATGTCTTCATCTTCATTCCTTTGTCATTTTCCTCATGCATAAAAGACTTTTTTTGCCTTAAATATATATATATATATATATTTTTTTTTTTTTTTTTTTTTTTCAAAGCAAACCAGATAATAAAGAATTCATTCAGCTTTTGGATATATGGAAAAGTCCATTATTTTGCTTACCCTTTCCTGCCCCCTTTTCTTGACTGGAAATAGAAATTTGTGTTGACAAGTTTTTGATGTTTTCTTTCAGAACTTTAAAAATGTTACCCTACTGGCTTACAGTTTGGATTGTTTTTGTTGAGAAACCTTCCTATGATTTTCTTCATGTTTCTTGTGCTTGGGGTTCATTAGGTTTCTTGGACCTAATAGGTGCATCTATTTTTTAATTTCTAAAATCCTTTGGCCAATATTTTTCAAATTTTGTCAAATATTTTTTCTATTTCCCTTTCTCTCCTCTCTTTCTAGAATTTCAATTATACAAGTTAGGCCACTTGAAGTTGTCCCACAGCTTACCAATCCTCTATTCATTTTTCTTTCCCATGTTTCATTCTGGGTGGTTTCTATTCCTATGTCATCAGGTTCACTAATATTTCTGTCTTCTATATGTAACACGGGATTAATCCCATACACAGTATTTTTCATCTCAGACTTTGTATTTCTCATTTCTATGAATTCAATTTGGATTTTTAAAATATCACCCATGCTCTCTGTTTTCCTCCACCTTCTTAAATATTTGGAATATATTTATGCTTACTTAATAGTTCCATCACTTGTCCCACTTCTGCATCCAGTTAATGATAAACTTTTCTTCTCATTATGGGTCAGATTTTCCTGCTTTTTATACATGCCTACTAATTTTTTATTGTCCTTGTGAATTGTGTTTTAAATTTATACACACACACACACATTCCCTTAAATATTTTGAGCTTTGTGTGGGATGCAGTTAAATTACTTGGAATTACTTTGATCTTTTGAACCTTGTCTTTAAGCTTGTCAGGCAGGTCCAGAAAAGTCTTTGTACTGAGGCTAATTTGGTCCTACCATTGAGGCAATATCCTGCTGAGGACTCTAATTGATGCTCCATGTGCTGTCTTCTCCCCTGGGTAATGGGAACACTAACTATTCGTGGTCTTAGGTGGACTCCAGGGATTATTATGTCTGTTTCTTTGTCCTTGGTAATTTTTTTCTGATCAATACTCAACTAAAGACTCAAAAATATTCTATAGATCTGTGAAATTCTGTAAGTAGCTCTTTCCTCTCTGGTACTCTGACCACATATTGTAGCCACTCTATAATCCTCAAAGACCAAATTCTGTCTCTCCAATTCAGGGAGATTACTCCATAAGTAAGACTGGACAACTATAGGACTCTTCATCTTTGTTTCTATTCTCTCAGAACTCCCTGTACCATCCAGTTTATGCCCAATGTCTGAAAACCAGTACTTCACATAGTTTATTCCATTTTTTAGTTGTTTAAGACAAGAGGTACATCTAGTCTGTGTTATTCCATTATTGCTAGAATTTGAAGTTTCATTGTCATTTTTTTTTTTTTTTTTTTTGGTACCAGGGATCCAGGGATTTAATACAAAGGTGCTGAACTACTGAGCTGTATCACCAGCCCTTTTTATTTTTTTATTTCAAGACAGGGTCTCACTAAGCACTAAGTTACTTAGGGCCTCACTAAGTTGCTGAGGCTGGCTTTGAACTTGCTATCCTCTTGCTCAGTCTCTCAAGCCACTAGGATTACAGGGATGAAACACCATGTCTGGCTTGTTGTCACTTTTTTAAATATACTCATGGTCATGGTCTACAGTCACACAGATTGTGCACTGTGCAACTCTAGATCACAATGTGAATATATTGTCTTTTTATCCCCAATCTATATTTGAGCAATATGGCAGTGTTAATCATACTGCCTATTCATCTGAAGCTTATAATAGAATCTGATTTATCAATGTTTGGCACTTGAAAAAGTCTTCTCATCAAATTACTATCATAAATGACTAATTTGGATCCCACAGCAAAACTATAATATAACATTCAAGTGTAATGCTTACGCTATTCGATAAAAAACCTACCTACCATTTGTAATATGGTTTCTATGAGATGATACAATTAAAATTTCAACAAGAGATTCCAGGAACACATCTCCCTCATTTGTTAGTTTAGAGTACTCACATAATCGTATGGAAGAGGGTCGGAGAATAAGGGTTAAGACTATAAAAATTCAGATCAGGAATGAGCTATACAGAAATTTATATGTATTTATAAAATACATATTAAATTTATAAAATACATTTTTACCCATCCAAATTTACATTACAAAAGGATCTCTTTAATTACTATAGAAACTGAACTGTGGTAATAGCAAAATGAAATATACTTACTCATCCAATTCTTCTTCAGTTTTAGAACTATCAGCATAGAGGTACTTGCTCATGTCCACAGGTCTTATATTTTTTCGTTTTGTAGACGGGGGAGGAGAATCCTTTATAGTTACAAAAGTTTCTGGCTCATCAAATGGGTTCAAATATTGTGGAGTCTGTACATCTTTAAAGGGATTATAACTGTTATTATGAAAAGATTCTTCTGTTTTTTTAGGTGAAGCTGTTTCAGTAACTGGTTCTATAAAACGATAGCAAGAGATGAATTAAACTAATAGCATATGATATTTACATGCTATTTAAAAAAATTTTTAGTTGTAGATGAACATAATACACTTATTTATTTATTTATTAGTGTGGTGCTGAGGATTGAACCAAGTACCTCACATGTGCTAGGCAAACGCTCTACCACTGAGCCACAATCCCAGACCCTATATGATATTTTTAATGTTCTTTCTTTCTTTCTTTTCTTTTTTGCACCAGGAATTGAACCCAGAGGCATTTAACCACTGAATAATTAATTAATTTAATCTCCAGTTCTTTTTACTTTTTTATTTTGAGACAAGATCTTGCTAAGTTGCTGAGGCTGGCTTTGAACTCAAGATCCTCCTGCCTCAGCCTCCCAAAGCTGCTAGGATTATAGGCATGCACCACTGCACCTGGCTTTAACGTGTTTTCAAAGACGGGAATCTTGAATTAATAAATTATAGAGCTCTCAGAGCACAAAACAATAATGAAACAAGAAATTCCTTTTAGAGGTGTTAAGGAATTCTGAAGTTTAGAAAATGTAATATTTAAGATCTCTGTCTACCTCTCTAGGAATGGTGTTCACAAAAAACGACATCTCTGGATAGTTAATGTTTCATGACAGTAATCAGAGTCTCTAATAGTATCAGCATTATGGTACCTCAATTTTGGAAATTTTCAACTTCTTATCAGTGCAATATTATTTATCTCACTATACTAGCTTATCATCACAAACTGCAATGTAATAAATTTGTTTAAAAGAATATAAAACGGATTAAATTTTAAAATGGTCTTGGTAATTATACCAGAATATTTAGGTATCCAGAAATTCATTCTAGACTATATAAAAAATTCATACATGTATCCCTGGACTTCTTTTTTGAAAGTTCTGTATGCTACAAAACCTTAAATCTTTTTTTCCCCCCACTGCGGGTGCTAGGGATTGAACCCAGGGACTTGAACACACTAAGCACATACTCTCCCATTCTATATTACCAGACCCCATTCTTAACCTTTAGAGCTTTTAATGAAATAATTTTTAAAATATGAATCCAATTAATATTCTAATAAGAATAACATAAGGATCCTCAGGTTGAATTAAAGTTGTATTAAAATCATACTGGTAAGGTGATAGATGCGTCACACTAAATCCTTCAATATTTTATTATTTAAATTTTCAATTTGAAAACAAATTTGCATATAGGTTTTGTTGACAAAAATAAATGGTCCCAGCTATTTGAGAGGCTGAGGCAGGATTATCAAAAGTTTAAGTCCTGCCTGAGCAACTAAGTAAGTCTTGGCCTCAAAATAAAAAGGGTTGGCAAGGTAGCTCAGTGGTAGAGTGCTTGCTTAGCATGTGAAAGACCCTGGGTTCAATCCCTAGTATGGCCTAAATACATACATATTTTTCCATATTGGAGAAAAGTTTCAGAAAGCCAATAATCATAGTACACTAAAACTAATTTTAATTATGCCAGGCAACTCCAACAAAATATTTTAGTAAAAAGCAAAAAACTGGTCAGTGAATTCAAGAAAAATCACAATTATTTCCTAAGTGATACTTCAAGCAACTTACTCTATATTACAGAAACATTCATGATTGACATATATTAATGATTTTTGATTGACTGATTTGAAACAGGGTTTTTCTATGCTGCCTAGGCTACTCTCAAATTCCTGGTCTTCAGTGATCTTCCTGCTTCAGCCTCCCACATAGTTGAGATTACATGCAGATGCCATCATGCCTACCCTAGTGACTTTTATATTTTAAAGTGAAACAACTTATATTTTAGACATTAGTCCAGAAATTTTATTTTATCGTTCTATTGAAGAAAAATAAAACAAAAACCCTCAACTGAAATTCTGTATACCATGTAGAACCTATTATAAAGTATAAAAGATTTCATAAAATCATATTATTGATTTAAAATCCTAATAAATTAATACTAAAATGAGTTAAAAATTGACTACATTAAAAAGATTCAATAACTATGTTATTTTTTGTAATACCATCATAATATTCAAACATCATTAAAATCTTCATAGTAATGTAAATGGAGCATTTTCTGTTCTCCATAGGGGAAGAGAATATGCAATTTTGCCTATTCAATTTTTTTATTATCAAATATGAGGACTCAAATGCTTAAAAGCTGACAAAACTTGTCAATGAAAACTTGTCAGGAAAAGGACTGCAAAAATTGATCCAAGTAAATCATCATTTTTTGGTTACAAAAGAAAGTATAGAAACTACAGAACAAGATTTGAAGATGACAGTACAAGTAACAAAGGAGGGTAAGTTTAAGATTATTTCATATAAAAGTTAACAAATACATTTAATGACTTTCTAAAAGGGTCACTGACGTACATAAATATAAGGAGAACTGAGGATGTAACAGCCATAAAGCCCAAAACAAACAAACTAAAAACAGAACTATAATACATTTTTTTCTTCCCCAAATATTTTGGTTACTTGAAGATGAAAGTTTTTAATTGATGAAAAAAAAATAAATTATTTCTAGGAAAATATTTTTCTAAAAGAAAGTACTAAGTACTTATTTCAAAGACATAGGCATATGTTTAAAGAAAACAGTGATTGCTACATGTCTTTTTAGCTCTGTAAGCATAATTAAAGATATTGAATCAGGTTGGTTTGCTTTGTCTAAACAGAAATAAAATCTTATGTGTTTTCTGAAGCTACTTTCTATTTCAGAAAACAGATCCACATATATTTAGAAAGCATATTTGATTGAAATGGAAAGTTCAAATAACTGATGTTTCAAAATATTTTCGTAATTTTATCTTTTTAACACAGTACTCAGATGTATGCACTATGACATGCAACCATGAAAGAAGCTTTGTGGTCAAAAGAAGATGCTTGTTTGGGAATCTTAGTTCTAATTTCCAAATACATTTCCCTCAAATTAAAATCACTTCACTCCTCTGAGCCTCAGTGTCCTAATTTATCTTTAAAATTTATCTTTATTAAGATTTAAAATATGTTCATAATACATAGTCCACAAAAATCTTATTAATTTGGAAGCTAGAAAGAAGAGAAAAGGTAAAGGAAGAGAAGGAAAGAATTATGAAACAATATTGCTCTAACAGAGTAAATCCTGAAGCTGAACTCATTTTCATCATGATAAGCAGTAGAACAATTCTTTAAAGCTCATGAAGATTTCATAAGAGCAGTCAAAAAGATGTAAACAGTGGTTAATCATTCTTGCATTTACTTCAAGCAAAGAGTTTAATTTAAACAGAGGTCTCACTTCTTCAACAGTCCTTATCCAGGCTTGAAGAGTTCAAAACTCTTAAATAGGAGTTTTGATAAGAAAAGAGACTGGTGGCAGCAGTGGGGACCCCTGATTTTACTCTTTATAAGTATGCTGTATATATGACGGCAGTGTTTTTTTAACTTTCTCTGCTCTATGCCATCACATACATAACTCACTTTATTAACTGTAATTTTTCAGCCAAAGGCATGAGTTAGCAGTAGCTAAATGTTCAGATGCTCTGAACACGAGGGTGGAAGAGTGGTATAGAGGATCTACCTCTATTATCTGACTATCAGAATTCCCCACAATCTGACCTCACTTGGTATGCCTAACAAATGACTACATGTCCGCTAGGTAAAAAACTATTATCTATAACATTAGACTTTTACTAACTGTTTAACCAAGTAAGAACTAAAAATAAGCCACATGCAAATATCTAGGTAAGGCTTTATTAGTTTTTATTTAAAAACAATTCAATGGAGACTACCTAGAATTAACGATCAACTGCAAATGGTATTGAACACAATATTATTTAATCAAAAAATCACTTTTTGAATCTTTTAAGAAAATCTTTCCCTGCCCTTATTTATAGTTCATGAAAACTTGACTATACAAAGACTACAAGTATAGAAAGATTTCCTAAGGGAGAGAAATGAATTACAGTAGATGGGGTAGAGAGAGAAGATGGGAGGGGAGGGGAGGGGGGATAGTTGAGGATAGGAAAGATAGCAGAATACAATAGTCACTAGTATGGCAATATGTAAAAACGTGGATGTGTAACTGATGTGATTCTGCAATCTGTATACGGGGTAAAAATGGGAGTTCACAATCCACTTGAATCAAATGTATGAAATATGATATATCAAGAGCTTTGTAATGTTTTGAACAACAAATAAAATAAAAAGAAAGACTTCCTACCTTCTGAGTTAGGATCTCCAAATGGATTTAAATCTACTACATCGGGATCATCAAATGGATTTGAATTCACAGTCACCAGGTCCTTTTCTGCTTCATCCAAAAAGTTAAGTTTGTTGATAAGCTCTGAAAAATAAGCATATATGTTAGCGCACTATAATTATGGTAAAGTCTAATTATTGATCATTCATGAAACATTTCAAATTTTAAAAATTCACATTAATAATACCTGCAAAAATGAGATACAGCATTTTAACAATGGCAGAATGCCATTCAAGCATTTTGTAGTATACCAACATTTCAAAATAAAAACAGATATTAACTTGAAAATTTATCAGATAATGAACTAAAGAAACTTTCATTATAGTTGAATTTGATTCAAATTAAAAGTGCTGATAAAGGTTTTTAGAATATATAAGCTCACTGAAATATTGTCATATGATCAAGTATGTTTTTAAATCATTATTAAGCATTCTGATATAATACTTTGTTAAAGATGATAAATTTTGTTATCTTGTTGGCTGTTGATACACTACAAATTACCAAAGAAAACATTTAAAAAAAAAAAAAAGCAAAAAGACAAAACCGACAGCTAAGTTCAGACAGAAGTCAAGATGTAGCAAGTCACAGTAAATACAGGCAATCAGAAGCAGAAAGAAAGGAGGAAAGCTCTTAGACCTTCAGAGGAACTGGCTGATTTAGCTGAAGGCATATTTGCTTGCTTTATGCAGTCATCTTGATCTTCATCTAAGCTGCTCAGAGCATTCAACTGGTTTACAATTTCTGTAAACAGAAGCCAGTCAAGACAAATGTAAGGTAAGGTCATTTAATTAAAAAGCAGTAGAAGCATGCTGTTACTCAAAAAGACAGAGGAGATGTTTGGTTAATCAATAGAATACATTCAGAGATGTTATTTTGATGAACTATAACAGATATAATCAATTGAATGTTACATTGTACTCACATTTTAAAATACAAAGCATTTTATTGTTAAAATTTGTATTAGTAATATATTAACTGTTAATAGACACAAAAATAAATAACCCAAGAGTTAACATTGACTTTCAGCAATCATATTTTTGTATTTGTAAAAACGAATTCTGCTCTAAACATATACATCAGAAACAAAAATTTTAAAAATCCTGATATTCACCATTTGCTTCAGATATTCTAAATTTAAACTTAAAGGTTTTAAGAATATATATACATGAGTCATGTATATAATATGCAATCATTCTTGCTCTAGAATTGAAAAATCAGCACTAAAACAATAAAAGCAAGCAATAGTTACTGTTTCTACTCCTGTTTTGTAGAGAATTTGTTCTTTTAAGTCAATTCTAAGTATCTGCTTTAAGAATTTTATAATTTAGTCAATAAGAAAACAAAAAGACAAAGATAGAGAAAAAATTTAAATAAAACAATTCATTTTGTGTATAAAAATGTTTTAAATGAGTCATATATATTTTGAATAACTCTGACTATGTGAAACTATCATTCACTGGGTAAAAATTAGATAACTTGTAAACAAAAGAATAAATGCCTTAGTATTCTAGATAGCATACTTAGAATACATTAGTTAATCCTTGATGTTTCCAAAGTTAACTACTAGTATAGAAGTAACTTAGATATGAGGATAAACCAAACAGATCCAGATCATTCAGTGGGAAAGAAAGAAAACAATTAGAAATAGAAAACAGTTGTAAATTTGACATTAACACTACGGTTCTCTAACATTGTAGATCTAAGTACACATGTTAAACTTTATTTGAACCAAATCAAAGAATATACGTTTGTAATATACTGCCTTCATGCATTCACTTGTTGAACAAATATTTATTTATCAGTCTGTGCCAAGCTTTCTGCTTGGAACATAAGGATGAAAAAAAAAAAAAAAACAAACATGCTATTATCCTCAAAGAATTTACATTCTATAAAGAGACAAATATTGAAACAGACTTTAGTAAGTGACTCCAAGACTATTAGGCTGTCAGAAATATGTTCTAGATATTTAAGTAAAATATATATAAAAGGTTGATAAATTTATTAATTTTTCCTGTCTGAATGAGAAAATGTATTTTGAATTAGTAAAAATGCTTCAGATAGTCATAGTAAAGCATGGAAAATAATTAAACCCAAATAAACTCTATCATTTGAAGAGTAGTAAAATCAGCTAAGGCCTGTCAGACTTTTATTATGAATAAAAGTGTCTTCTTCCATTTTATTCTACCAATATTTCTTACTCCACTTTGATTCAAGCTAACCTTAGCAAATTTCTCAGTAGGCAGAATTCACTCATAAAATAGATCTTCTACTTTCTACTATTAATCATTGTAATGACATAATATGACATAATATAACAGAGTAGAGGACTAAGATTAAGTGATTACTAGTCTCATGACAGATTTTTTATTCATTATTGTTTATTTTTTAAATTTGCAAATGATTTATTTTTAACTTTGAAAATATAAATAAAATATTAACAATATTGAGTTTGCAGTTGTTAATTCTTACAAATAGCCTAAGAGATAATTATTAAAATAAAATAAATTAAGAGGTTTTTATTAAAAATATTATATGATATGCCTTGTGAAAATATTAGACCTTCTTTTCAGAATATCAATATTGTTTCATGCAGGCTTAGGTACAATGTCAGCATTCATTTAAATATTATCAAAATGAGTTCATATATATAAATACATGACCAGTGTAATTTCACATCATATAATAACCACAAGAATGGGAAGTTATACTTCATGTATATATTACATTTCAAAATACACTGTCATGAATATCTAAAAAGAACAAACAAATATTATCAAAATGGGCCAATCACATGGCTAAATTATTTACACTGTAATTTTTCTGAATGTTTTCAATATTTGCCCCTTCTCATTATGCTTTTAGTGATATCTAAACCAAGGATGACCATTTCCTCATTAAGAATCCCAAATAATAGTTTCTATTCTCTTCAATTGTGACATATTATTCTTTCTATCTTTATAGATTTGTCCTTAGCTTAGGTAAATCTTCACTTCATTACTAGAACTTTTGTTCATATTAACAAAATAAAAAAGGTAATTTTGATTAGGTACATCAATTCCCTATATATGGTATGCAAATAAATGCTAATCCAAATAATAAAAACACAACCTCCAAAGAAATACCATCTATCTATTTAGTAAACATTTATCAAATACCTATTATGTGCCTGAGCTAGTTCCTGCTTTCATGGCTTTACATTTCAGTGGGACAGACAAAACAACATGAAGTATATGACAAAATACTATGATGGAGATAGCATTAAAGGCTGTGTGATTTTTGCCTGCACTTGAGCTAACACAAGACAAAACAGACAATATTCTTATTATTGAAATAATAAGAGAAAATGAAAGGCATTCCATAAGGACAAAAGGAAAACAAAGAGAATATAACATATTTGAAGAACTGCAGTTGTTTGGGCTTAAGATGCCAGGGATAGGGAATGCAATGAGATGAGGTGGGCAAGTGTCCTCTCATAAAGTTATTAGGATGGAACTAAAAAATGTGAACTTTACTCTGAAAGCTTTGGGAATATATTGAAATATCAAATGTATATTTTAGAAGCATCATTTCAGCAGGAACATGGTGGCAACATTTGAAAAATAATAGGACAGGAAGCAAGACAAAGCATCACTTCTCCATGATAAGGCATTCAATAAGTATTTGTTCAAGAATAAATTAAGAAGATTTAATGGTTAACATGATATGGAGGATGAAGAAAGGAATTTAGGATAAGAGTCAGGTTGGATTGACTATGTAGAAAGTAGTTTTAGCACAGTGATGTGTTCTACTCAGTCGGGGACAACCTGTGAAATTTTGTATGAAAATACTTCAACTGGCAGTTGCTATGTGGGTCTTAAACTATATAATTTTGTTATGTACTTCTCCTTTTAAAAAAGTGCTTTTCTGTGTCTTCCAAATTTCCTACAGTTAGTATGTTCTACTTTTATAATTAGAAAATATTAAAAACTCAAAAAAGAAAATTTATAACAAAAATTTATTACTGGAATTTTTTTAAAATGGGAAACCTTCCCATAAACATACTCCCTAACCATATTTATATGTAATACTTTGTTACTTATTAAAGCCTTGCTTCACTAAAAATTTACACACTTGGAAAATGATAATGATGCTATAAAATAAATAGTACAAACAAATTTCTATTTCACTACTGCTCATGTGGAGCAATAAACCCACAGAGCAGAACATTTATTGTAACAGTATGTCAGTCTGTACTTGCTTCCCATTGGTGAGAATAAAAAAGGAAACCAAATTAGGGGCAGGCAATCGAAGCACAGGGTCAAGTAATTTGAGACTCTTTTTACTGTTAGAAAAGCAAAGGAAGATAGAAATTGACCAACAGAGATTATCACATTGAACAAAAAGGGGGATGGGGTGGGAGGTGGAATGAAGAGTAGGTAGCTTTTTTCCTTTTAAGAAAGTCTGTAGGTTGAGTAAAAGTTAAAAAATAAACTGTCTAGAGCTAGAACATACCTGCAAATCTTGCCACATCCTCATTCTTCTCTAAAATGTAACTAAATTTAGTAGAGGTAAAATCTTTTAAGACAGTCTAAAATAGTAACATTTCAGTTTACTAGCAAGGATCAAGGTCAGTAGGATGTCACTTTCCTTACAGGCTTAAGCCCATAAATATTTGATTTGTGTATACAGCTAACAGGTTTCCATCTCATAGCAAATCATAAAGGAGAAGAGAGGGGCTGCTTCAGATAGACAAGTGGACACCAAGTGTTCTCTCTTCCTCCATCTTCAACCTCTCCAATTGTTCCTTCCCAAGGGCTTATTAATATGATCAAGTTGGTAACTACCCACCAAAGTCCCTCAATCTTTTTCCTCTGTTTGACCAATCTCTCTTAAGCTTATATAAGAAAGCATCTTAAAAACATAGTAGTCTATAATTTCTCACCTACCATTAATCTTTCAGCTCACTGCAATCTGCTTTTTTGTTGATGGTGGGGTTTTTTTGTTGTTGTTTTTGGTACTGGGGATTAAACTCAGGAGCACTTGGCCACCGAGCCACATTCCCAGTCCCATTTTGTAGTTTTTATTTAGAGACAGGGTCTCACTGA